CTTCAAATGAAATATTTCATTTGAATGGAATAAATAGAAAAAATCACTCGGAATAATTTAATTCTGAAATTATTTAAATCAATCTGAATAAAATAATTAATTATGATTTTATGATTCATAATTTTTTAACTCAATATTGTACTTAATACTAATTTGTTAAATCGCACTCAATTAATATTTGGTAATTTTATCATTTTTTCATATACATAAATATGAAGTTTATCTTAGGAAACACTATATTTAAAACATTAAAAATCATTTCATTTAAAAAAACCACTACTATTTAAATGAAACTACAACAAGAAACAACTACAACAAGATTTTGTTTTTATAAATTAAATCCTGAAGATTAGCACATTATCTTTTATCTCCAAAATTAAATATAGGCGTCATAGGCGACTTAATGCCACAATCTCTATTCAGAAATATATTCAATGTTAAAAGTTAACAAAAATATAAAAAAAAAAAATACAAACATTAGTTAATTAATATTTATTCATATAGTTTTGCATTCAAACTAGACCAACCGACCCCCACCCCAACCCCAACTAATTGCAATACAACTATATCAGCATTTCACTCAGGCCTATTTTATGTGGTTATGGGAGGTAATCATTTACTTTAGCCAATTTTTTTGTTTTTTTTTAAAGTATTTCTTCGATAAATTTTTGCAAACATAGTACATTTTAATAAAATTAAAATTTTCAAATGTTTTAATAAGTCATCAAAAAATGGATACAGGATATTTTCGGAAAAGTCATGGCTTAAGGTGGCCATGTAAGAATAGGAAAATTTCAATATATATCTCGGTATATAGGATCCCCAAAAAGTCAAATCAACAAAACACCTAGTCAAAAAAACCTGTATCTTAGAATTCTTTTAGCCAAATATAGGTAGAACATGAGAAAGTAAGTCAACTTAAACCCACATTCTATTAGAAAGTTCACAGTATCTCAAAAATATTTCAATCAAATACAGATAAAAAGTGTGTCAATGAAAAATATCATTAAAAACACCTTCTCTCGAAAAATCCATAATATCTCTGAAATAATTTAATCGATTATGAGAAAGGGTGTCAGAAAAAGTTGTACCCAAGCCCACCTTCTCTCAAATAATCCATAATATCTTAAACTTTATTCAGTCAAATAGATATAAAGGGTTTCTAAAGAATTCAGTCAAAAACAATAGTAAGTCACCGTCTGTAAATCACTGCCTTTTTCAATGAAAACGCACCAATTTATCATGTATTATTACTCATACACTTCAGGGAATTTGTAAACTTTCGTCACAAAAACTCAGTAGGTAACTCGCTTAAATGAACGATTACTGAAAAACGATGATTGATAAGAGAAAAAGAAAATTCTCCATAAAATTAAAGAAAAATCTTGAATTAAAAAGTTTAAAGTATGCTTTCGAAAAATCGAGAAATAAATCGAAGCACAACATAAAGCATCAAATGTAGTAAATATTATTATAAATATAAATGTTTCATGCATGTCAACGTTATATCCAAATTATGGAATAGTTGGATTAGCGTAAACGTAGTATATCATAATTTAGACACCCATTCAAATGCAAAGACATAATTTTCTTTAATGTTAATTTTTTCAAGCCGAGAATGACATGTGTTATGACGAAAAGAAGCTATTTAAAAATTAGAAGGGTTCGAATAGAAATGAAAAGACAACAAAAATTCAGTTATTTTATTGAAATTTGACTGACCATACAACTCTGTATTTTCATATCTATTAGAACCTTTCTATAATATTCTTTAATTTGTTACCTAATCGTTTATACTATTATATGATTTTATATTTATAGTGTTTAAAAGTATTTTCCTATAGAAAAATCCTGTTTTCCAAGAATCAGAATTACCTCAAGAATTTTATTAAATTTTTTTATTAGTTTTTTACATATGTATATTTATTTACTTACAAATATTTTTTACGAAAAAACTTTCTATGTGTTATTAACATTTTCCTACAGTCAACATCTGAAATGGACTACGAAAAAACATTATATCTGTCATACACAATTTACAGCTATCAGCACCTAAAGTAGAATACTCAGTGTTATTTTGTAAAGGAACACACCACTCAGTGTTTTTGTTTTTAAGGAACACACTACGAAGGGTTTTTTTTCAAAGTACACACTGCTCAGGTTTTTTGCCAAAGAACGTTTTTTTTAGGGGTTTTTTAAAAAAAAAACGCACTACTTTGGGTTTGTTTTGCAAAGGAATAGGCTACTGTTTTTTTTTCAAAGAAACGCACTACTGATTTTTTTTTCAAAGAAACGCACTACTGATTTTTTTTTCAAAGAAACGCACTACTCAGCTCTTTTTTACTAAACGAAAATACTTTTTAGAGGCTTTTTTTAAAGAAACTAAGCCTTTATTTAGAAAAACGCACTACTCAGGGTTATTTTTGCAAAGGAAGAGGCCACTATTTTTTTTTTTCGAAAAAAAAACACTTCATTTTTAAAGAAACGCACTACTTAGGATTTTTTTTATTAAAGTAACGCGAGAGAAATCCAAAAATGTATTAAAATATTTTCATTTTAGTGTGTTTTTCTTGTACAAAGCAGGAAACTTTATTTAATATAATATCTTTCCCTTTTTTTGCCTTTAAAAAAAAATGTTTTTAAATAATAATACTCATTCATTTGACTTTTCTCGCAATACATTACTAGATTTTAATCTTTCTCAAGGCTCCTAAAAACTTCAAATCAATTTATTACTAGATTTCAGGCTTCATCACGACTCCTTTGCTAAATTTCAGTCTTCCTTAAGACTTAGGACAAAAACTTGACATAATCATTGCTAGATTTCAGTCTTTCTCAGGACTATAAAATCATCGTTTAAAAATTCGTTACTAAATTTCAGTCTTCCTTATAACATCAAAAGCGTCTCATAAAAATTCAATACTAGATTTCAGTCTTCCTCAGGACTCTTTTTAAGACTTGTGTATCATCAGTAACTCTACTGAGAGCAGTGGAATCTTCTTTCCCCACGTCTTATTACTTTGATTAGCTAACTTTTTACCATCTTCATTTACTTTACTAGAAAATACCAATGTATATATTATATTGATTTAAATAAATATTAGCTTTAAAACCTTTTTACTTCATATTATTTATTTATATTAAATTATAATTAACAATATATTATTATGTTGAAGCTTCTTGTGCCACTGCACTTGAGCACTTTTACTCTCTATTAACTACGAAGCATCTTTAAGACTCCTCTTTACACCTTGACTAGATTATTGTTAACACTTCATCAGACTAAGCAATAACTGGTCTCAGATCTGCATACCTCACCGAGGAGCCTATAACCATTCTGAGATTTGATGACGCGGTGTTAGTAAGCCTGTCAGTTTTCGTATATAATTACAAGGCTCTATCCTTTATGTATTTTTTGATCGGATCAATCTTGAGGTCCCTTAGGATGTCATTCGTCCTAATGTACCATGGTACCTTGGAAAGTCCTCTCAAAGCCTGGCTTTGTGCAATTTCTAGGTAGCGAATAGTAGTGTTTGAAGCTTTGCTAAACGCTATACAGCCATATGGAAGTGATGGATAAATTATTTGGTTATATATCATCTTCCTGTTCTTAGCATCGAGATTTTCTTTTCTGAATAGCTTTTGAAGGTGATGAAGCAAATTCTTTTTAGTTGAACATGTTTAAGCCATGTGAATCGTTGAATCGTTTGTCCAACGTGATGCCGAGATATATATATTACATATACATATATATATATTAAAATAATTATTTCTATATAATTAGTTATAATTTAATTTATGGCAAATAACGTAAAAAGTTTTTAAAACAAATATGTATTTAAATCACTGTGAGGAACAGATCAAATCTTGATATACCCATAGTGCTTGTTCTGAATCTTTGAGTTTGAAATAAATCTAAAAAATTTTATGAATGGATCTAAACAGAAAAGTCAGAAAAAATTTTCAATTTTACATAACAACAAAATATTGTTTCACATAAATTTGTAAACATTTTCAAATCATTCACTTCTGCTATGTTTCATATAAGATATTCTCTATGGCACACAATAGAGTTCTCGTACGGATATAATATATTTTTCTGTTGAAATTTCGTAGCAAGCGTTTATGTAGAAAATAGTTTTTGGTTTTCTCTAAAAACATGGAAATTTTGCTTATACGTACGTTTTGAAAATGACTTCATAAAAATTAAATTGAAGATGAATAAGTCCTGCGCATGTCTACTGAGTAAAATGTATGAGCACAAAAATAGTTGAAAAATTTTCCTTTATTTCAGTTTTTTGCAGTATAGATACAGTGGTACAAAACGAATAAAAAGCGAGTAAAAAGTTTATCTGGTTGAATAGAAATCAAAATTATTTAAAATGTTGCCTGCAGTATGCAGATATTATTTAATAAATGAAATGCATTTTATAATATTCAGAAAGCATTTGTTTCAGATACTTTATGTATTTGCTACTAAAAATATCTGAAAATATATTTTTTTGTGCTACTAGCGGCGCATTTAGTGGAAATTTTTTGCTTAGATATGAGATACAAAACGTAGACGAGCCGAAGAGAGCGCCCATGTATAGTGGACGCCAGTACGAACGAATATTCTGAAAGTAAAGTAAAGCAAACGCCTGTTTTTGTTTTACACTGAGAGGTGAAAGATAAAAACATCGCACTATTAACTGTCAGTCGAAATTCACAGGCACATTCACACAGCTGCACCTACAATTTGATATAATATTTGCAAAGAAAACTTAAGAAAAATTTATTAAATTCAATCAAATATATGAGTTCATGCTTAAATAGTGAAATTAATAGTGAAAATATAATGAAAATATAATTTTGTGTTAATTGACGACTTTAAAGCACAAAAAACCAAAAAAAAAAATATAAGAAAATCAAAAGCATTGTTAATTAATTAATTATAATTAATGTGTTAATGTGTTGATGTGATAGCTGAAGTTGCTAATTAAAACTAAATAATCGCTTTTTTATGCAAATGTATCTCAAAAGTATAAGAAATAAATTAGAAAAAACAAAATCGAAATAAATGAAAAAATCACTATGCCAAATACAAAAGAAAAATCTTCAGCGACAGCATCGAAATCAACGTCAAAACACAGGTCGAGGTCATCTGCTCGATATGCTGACGTTGAAAAGAGAAAGAGAACAATTGTCTCCATACCCAACACCATCAAATTAAGTATGTTAAACAGTGGGTTGCTTTCCTTCGAAAAAATTAAATTGGAGGCTCGAGATGAAAAGAATTCCTTATCGAAAACAATACCCAACAAACCCATTGACACCAGGCACTTTTTGAAATTATGCGAACTGAGACGTAAATTTCCTGTGCTCTATAAGCTAGAATTTCAGACGGCTGCCAAAGTGGAGACAAACACATGCAGACATGCTATGAAAAAGAATAATCATGAGAAAAATCAAAATCCTAAGTGCATTCCGTATGATTACAATCGTGTTGTATTACAAAAGATACCTGGCGTCCCCGATTCCGACTATGTAAATGCATCGTATGTGGATAGTCTATTGAAACCGAATGCATATATTGTTACACAGGGACCGGTTGAGGAGACTGTGAACGCCTTTTGGCGTTTGGTATGGCAGGAGAATGTCAGTGCAATAGTCATGTTAACAAAAACGTTCGATTTTGCCAAGGTCATGTGTGTGCAGTATTGGCCACCGAACATGGAGGTGCACGAAACATATGGTGACATCAATATCAATATTGTACGAGAGGAGCAATTGGCAAATTTTCACATTCGTACATTTCGTTTGTATAAAGAGAATGAAAGTAAGGCGGTTACCGATGAACGTTTAATATTGCAATTCCACTTTACGGAATGGTACTCACACTCTTGTCCCTTCTCAAATGCGGTTTTGGAATTTAGACGTCGTGTACGGTTAGTGGTTGGTAATATAATTAAGGAAGATGACATGAAGGGTCCAATGTTGGTACACTGCAGTGATGGTGGTGGTCGTTCAGGTGTATATTTGTCAATCGATGCAAATTTAGAGCTAGCGGAAGAAGAAGAAACTTTTAATGTATTTGGTTATTTGAAGAAACTACGTCAGTCCCGTAAAGGTTTAGTAGAAAATATTGAACAATACAAATTTATTTACGATACTTTAGAGGAAAATATTATATGTGGCAAAACTTGGTTTCCAGTTTCTGAATTATCTGACCGTCTTAAGTCAAAAGCTAGGCGCAATTCAACTACTAAAATGAATGAGTATCAAATGGAATATGAGCAGATATGCAAGCAAACACCGAGATTTACAATTGGTGATTGTGCTGGTGGTCATCGTGCTGATAATAGAGAAAAAAATCGTGATGTTTTATGTGTACCACCAGATAATAATCGTCCTTATTTGACATCTTTTCAGGGAAATGCTTTTACCGACTATATAAATTCCGTTTTTGTGGATGGCTACACTAAGCCACGCGAATATATTGTAACCGAATGGCCATTAAAACACACTTTAGGCGAATTCTGGTCTCTTGTATATGATCAGGAATGTTCCGCTGTCGTTGTACTCTGTCAACCTCCAGCCAATTCGCAACAATTTCCGTCTTTTTGGCCAGTTAAATCAAAAATGGAGAAATACGGACCAGTATTTACTGTGCATTATGTAGCGTCTAAAAGCTATACAAACATAAAGCAATTTGAATTCAAAATTAACAAGAAAATTGTTTCACTTACCGAGATGATGGCTGGTGTTAAAGCACCTACCAAAACCGTACAACTCTTTCAATTGACATGTTGGCCAATGGGTCAAAAAGTGCCAAACTCAACGAATTCACTAGTCTATCTAATGAACATGGTCGAATTATGGCGTCAGAAAACCGATTATGGGCCAGTTTGTGTGGTTTCACCCGATGGAAGATCACGTGCCGGAGTTTATTGTGCGGCCAATGCCTGCATTGAACAGGTCATACAACATGGCGAAGTAGATGTATTTCAGGCGGTTAAAACTGTACGACGTCATCGACCACAGCTCGTCGATAATATGACTGAGTACAAGTACTGCTACGATTTAGTATTACATTACGTCCTACATTTCCTTAATAAGAAGGATTAAATAAACAAATTTTACTATAACAATGAATAACATTGTTTGCGCATTTGCGGTTAAAGAAATTAATAATTAATATAAATTTAACTTCGTTTTTTAAAAATACAACTTAATAATTCAAAGTGTTCTTGGTATTGTATTTGAGGTGTGTAGGCCATTAAAAGTAAATATTGCACTACATATATTTTTTGTTGCTATGTTTTAAATTTATCTGGTCTACGGCACGAAAACAATATAATCAATTTGAATAGGTCCAAATATTTTAACATAATATATAACACAATAATTCAAAGGAATTGTTGGCAAGTTTTAATATTAAAATTGTCATTTGTAACATTTTTTTTTGCATTAATGTGAATGTTAACAAAAACTGTAATTATACAAATTATAAGAAAAAGTTTCCTATATAAGTAATTTCATGTTTAAACTATTAGAATTTGACTTATTCACAAATAATTCAAATCAATTTATATATTACGAGATACTCCACAAAACACATTTTGTTAGTTTTATATAAATTTAAGTTCATTTATATATATTTACTCTCAAATAATATGTATATTAATTTATACATATTTATTTAAAATTAAGAGAGTTTTTAAATTACTTAAACATTCGATCCGCGTAACAAGAAAGTTTCAAAAAAATTCTCCAAAAATAATAATTTATAATTTATATGAAAGTAAATTATAACAATTATTATTATATATTATTATTTTTTTTTTTTTTGTCTATATGCTTATCATTTGAATACAAAAATTTGTTAAAAATTAGTGATCAGTGCCATATTACCACTTATGTGCCAATAAGTCTTCTATATTAAAAGCTACCTTTCCTTCAAAAAAACAACAAAATTAGAACTTATTAGCTAAATTCTTATTATTGAGATGCAATACTTTATAAGACTTTATTTTTCTGAATTATAGATATTTAATTATATTTATTTTTTGGTACATTTATATAATGAAAAATTGTTTACTATATATATATATATATTTTATAGTCATAATTTACAAAAACAAATTAAAGTTTAAATCATAATTTAGCTATTTTAAAATTTAAGAAATTTTTCCAATACAATGTATCTTTAAATTAAATTTAATTTAATATATTTTGCAAGTTTATTTATACACTGAGTTCCTTACACTAACTCTAAGATCTATCACTACTGTTGATATAATAAAAAAAAATGTATGTTATTGATATTGAAAAAATTCAGATACAGATTTGAGTTTATCACCAACCAAATTTATTACTCATATTTTTTAAGTAATTTGTACTTTGTCAATGCACATTTACACTTATGATTTATGGAATAAAAAACACATTTTTTTTTACAACAAAAATATTTATAATATATTAATATTTTTTGTTGAGTACATATAATTACTATATAAGCAAAAAAAAAATTAATGATTGTAACTGAAGTAAGGGGAGCGTCTGACGTCTCCAACTGCGACTATACCTAAATGTGCCATGTTAAAATCCTATTTGTTGTTTATTTGAAAATGATATTGAAATTGTATTGCCACTGTTATTTATATATATTTAACTTAATATATTTATTAATGTTAATGTATGAGATACGTTTATATACTTATATACTTATATTATGTATTTTTTTGGCATTTATGCAAATTATAAATGTATCGCTATTTTGTAAAACTTATATAAATATATATTCAAATAAATGTATGTACACTTGTGTATATAATTTTATCCACACCCAAATAACAAGTGTAGTTTTGTTTTCATTTCAATTTTTTTAAAATACATATATAGTATTTAATCATATTTTTTAATATCTAATTAAAATGATTTTTTAAAATATTAATAAATGAAAGCAATATTCAACTAAGAAATATTATGAAGCCTAGGGTCTCAATTATCTACACGAAAAGTGCTAATCGCTTATTGTAAAAGTATATTTCGACTCTCCTTGAGAGTCATCAACATGATCACGATCTACAAAGATAATTACAACAATTTACAATATTTTAATTATTATTTTTATGATTAATTATGAAAACATTCATTTTGCTTACATAATTAGAGTAAAAGCTCTAATTAAAAATTTGATTAAGTGTTAGTAACTTGTAATGGACGATACTCCTGTAATCCCACCAAAAACACAGCATGATAATTTGTATCCTTAATACTGTTTTTGCCAATGACAACATGACGTAGAACAGTTAATACCGAAACTGCCAAATCGTTTAACGAACTTCGACAAATTTCGCAAAATAGAGTTAGTTGGAGTTCATTTCTTGTACCCTTAAGCTCCTAACAGATTATGAAATAAATAATGATAATATAATAATAATACTGGTTTTACCTAAATAAGACAAATGCCACCATTGCATATGTGGACCATATAGCAGTTTTAGGAAGAAAAACAAATTCCAAGATCTAAATGCTTAAATGCTGAATACTTTCAGCAACTGCAAGTAAGGTTGGCTTCTTATATGAGGAATAAGAAGAAAAATAGGTAAATAAAAATATAAAGAACGGAAGATACAGGCAAAACAGCAAATATCAAGGCAACTACACATACGAAGCAAAAGAAGCATTTAAATATCTTGGGGTGCTGATACATAGTAACAATAAAAGCAGGAATTTGTATCCAAGAGAAACTCATCGCTGAAAATAAAGCCTTCTATATACATGACCATTACTTAACTTTACTAATATTAACACAAAACCTCAAGTAAATATAGTACAAAATCATAAGTCATCCTATTCTAGTTAGCGGATCTAAAGTATGAACTCTTATAAAAAAAGATAAGAATCTACTACTTGCTTTTAAATCTATTTTAAGAAGAAAATGTAAAAAGAAAAGAACAAAGAGTCCGATGACTAGGGCATGTCGTCAGAAAGGAAAACATTTGTCTATATATATTATTGTGAGTACTGATAAGCAATAGGGGCAGAAGTATGGCCCAAGCCAACGTGATTCCATTTTGTAGTATATAACCTAAAAAAAATGTAAGTGCAAAACTGGAAGCAAGTAACAACAGGCAGGGTTATATATGAAATTATAATAGATAAAAAAATTATTAAAAAAACTTCTGGCAATTATTGCACATAAGCCAATCTTTATAAATCAAACTATGATTTTGTTAACTATTTCAGTAAAAGCAGACATTTATACTCCCTAATCAAAAGTGAGGATATCTTTTCAGTTTCGTTGATTGGGTGCAATCATCTACCACTGCCAGACATTTATATTTATTGCTTGAAAGAGAGGGAACCTTATCTAGTTAATTGATTATAAAATATGTTCCAGTGTCAGAAATTTATATTGCCCTATTAAAAGTAGGTAAAATTTTGTAATTATTTAATTGCAAATAATGTATTATCACTGTGAAGAAAATCTTTTTACTTCATAGAGTGCAAATAGAGTGCCAACATTGTAAATAGTTGAATATAACTATGAAAATATGACATTCATATATTCTGTTTAATGAATTCAGAGGAAGCTGTTATACTTAGTTAATTGCAAATGAAACACCATCACTGTAAAGCGCTGCATCTATTCATACTCAAGTCCCGTATTCGCTTCTCTTGCACAGCGAAACTTTAAAATTGACCAACTTATTTCTAGATTGGTTTGGGTTATACTGGTGATCCAATGAAACTCAGGGTTTAAAATTACCTAGAACCTTTGTGAAGCTTAGAATGCGGTTTAGTAGGTGGTCTTGTAATTGATCAAGATTCTCAAGGAGGGGGTTCCCTAATGTGGTGAGTCTAAAAATTTACTTAACTTTTTACTTAATTAAAGCACATAAGTTCAGATAGTTTTCTCCATTATAATTTTATTAAAATCCTCATGATCTTTGGTTTTCTGTGGTAATTATGAAACTGCATAACCTTTTGACCTAAGGTAAAGATATACAATAATAAAATTATAATAATCTGAGGAAAAAGCAACAAATTCTTTCATTTGACCAATGCAAATTCATATTTCAACTGTCAAAACTAAAAATTTATTGAAATTTGAATACCGATTGAAGTGAATTAATTTTCTCGCTTGCCTGAAGATAACATCCTTGCAATTTATATGCTGCACTCCCAATATTTTCGCTAAATTAGTGAAATCCTATATTATGACTCTTTCTAATTAATCATTTTCACATGCCATAAATATCATATTTAATCCTTAATCTAACTGACCTTTGAGAGATTGCAATTCGTTCTATGCAAATTGCCACTGTTGTTATTATTTCAATCCGAAATGTCAATTACTTTGCATTGTTTGTTTGCTCACAAGTGTTTAAACATGGAAGCCTATATTTAATTATTTGAAAATTTATGAAATGAACTGTTTATTATGCAAATAAATGTATTCAAATAAGTTGAGGGGGGAGTTGTTGCTTCAAGGAATTGTGTGTCCTTTTGACTTTAAATATAATTTACTGAAGTGTGATAAAATCGAGTTAAATTATAATTTTATTTAAATCAAATCCAGCTATTCCTTATTGAAAGAAAACAGATTTCTGCTTCTATTCCGTTTATTTATCCAATTTAATCAAATTTGTGAAATATAATTTATTTTCCATATTATATTAGCAAATAAAAATTGAATAAGAGAAGGCGTGAAAACATATTAAATTGTTTGATTATATGTGAAAGTAATTGAGCTGAAATAACATTTAATATTCTTTCAAGTCATTATTATCTTAATTGTTAAGAAAATTTAAATAGTAATTGAAATGAAATGAGATAAATTTGGTTTTATAATTTAAAGTTTGTTTTATTTTTAAAAGCTAATACGATTCACAAAATTAGATCATGACTTCATCTTTAAATATGATTTACATTTGTATATCAGTATTAATCAGAGCCTTCTCGTAGTAATTCTCTTAGTTCACCTAAATTTTTTGCAAATAATTCTAAATAATTTTGTAAAAATAATTCACAACTTTGATCTTCTCTAGCTTACTTCTATCATTATTATAAATGATATCAATCGAAATTTCACCACAATTTAATATTTTCTCTTCGAATCGCATCCTTGCTTGCTTTCCAGGCTACTGAGTCATTAGCATATTCGTTGTTGGCTCCTTCATTGCTACAGTTTTATCTTACAAAACCGTTCGCAAGTTGATTTCTCCTAAATAAGATAAAAGCTAGTGATCTCATTATGATTGTAAATTAAGAGCCTAAATATATCAGTATCACAACAGGCTTACTGCAGAATCACTGTCGGTTAGGTAACCGCACTAAAAATTGATACTAAATTACTTC